TCCCTAGTCCTTTTTACAATTTTAATTTTGAGACAGGGCCTGGCTGAGCTGCTGAGGTGCCCAGGCTGGGCTCAAACTTGTGACCCCCTGCCTCACCCTCCCAGAGCGCTGGGGTTACGGGCGTGCAGCACTGTGCCTGGTTCTCGATGTATTTCCCATTGATAAGCTCCCAGAGTACAGTGTGCGTAACCTCAGGTAATTCGTGGGCACTCAGAGAAGGGAGTGAGTCCACCTCGAGGTCCCCTTCTCCCCAGTAAACTCCGCCCAGCCCGCATCGCCCACTGCAGCTGGGTGCCTGAGCATCCCAGATCTGTGTGGGTCGCATCTCCCTCACCCTCCAACCCTCAGTCCAAGCCTCTCCTTTTTCTTGCCAGGGTAGAAGTCACCAGGACCTCCTGGGCTCCGAGATGAGCCAGCCAGAGAGGTCGAGAACATCCCAGCCCCTGCCCTGAGGCAGGCTCCACCCGGCCCCTCACCCTGGCCCTGGGCCTCCCCTCTCCTGTTAGCTCAGAAGAAATGGGCCAAAGTCCCCTCCCTGAGTGAGGAGGGACAGGGCGGGAGCTCCAGGGCTGCAGAGCCAGGTCTGCGGAGGACAGAAGCTGCCGCCCTCAGCCAGAGGTGGGAGAGGAGGCAGGAAGCCCTCTGTGGGTGACAGGTGAGGCCAGTGGCCGCCCTGGCCTTGGAGACCATCTCTGTGCACGGAAAGTGTGGGTGGTGGCGGCTGACTCAGAGGGCAGGGACACCTGAAGACGGGATGAGGGGCGCCGTGGGGGGGGGGCAGGGCGCGGGTGCAGCTCTCAGCGCCCCTCCAGGATCTGCCCCCATCCTGTGTGGCCTGCACCTCGCCTTTTTGTCTGTCCAGCCAGAGACCAGCAGCGCGGTGGCAGGGGCCTTCCTCCGACGCCGGCCCTGCCCTCTGTGGGTGCGCAGGGCCCAGGCCCAGTCCAGGGAGGGGACGTCCCCACCAGGCCCCAGCTGCTCTGCTCTTGCCCAGGCTGGCGTCCCAGTGTGGCAAGGGGCGTGGGTCTGTCTTTGAGTTTGCAGACTACAGCCAATGGGGAAGCCAGGATCCCCGAGGACTCGCCCATCACCGGTCCGGAGCAGCTTCCAGCTCAGGCTTGGATCCCCCGCCCCAGGACTCTCTCCTTGCTGCTGGTGTGGACAGAGCCCCAACTTCCTGGGTTCCTGAGAGACTGAGGCATCAGTGAGAGCCACACTGTGCCACACACCGTATGTAAAATGGGGCAAGGCACACACACATTTTCACCAGTACCCCGAGGTCTCTGCTGCTTGCCCTCTGTGGGTTCAGCAGGTTGTGGCACGTGGCTGCTGGGCTCCAATCTGCCCTGCTGCGGAGGCCCCTCCCACACCCGCACCAGCAGGGCTGACTGAGCCAGGTGCTCAGACATGGCCTCGAGGCACGGTGGCTTCCATCTCAGAGCCCTCGCTCCTGTCTGGGTTCCCATGCCGGGTGAAGCCGCCTGCCCAGTAGACAAGGCCCCTGCCGTCCCCAGGCCTGGGCCAGGTGGAAGTGGGTTCTCCAGCTGGGCTGAACTTCAGGTGGCCGAAGCCCCGGCTGACAGCTTGGTGACCACGCATGAGAGACCCAGAGCCACCTGTGTTGGCTCCTGCTAGACTCTGAGCCCCAGAAACCTTAAGATAATAAAGATTTACCTTTTAAGCTGTTAGGAAATTTGTTCTGCAGCAGGGGATAGGTCACGCGTGGTCCCAACAGTGATGGGTTCCAAAGCAACTCACTACGCCCCACACAGTCTACTGGAGGGGCTGGGTCCTCCAGGTCCCCCTTGTTTCCTGCCACCAAAGCCGCGTCTCTGCCTCATCCCGTGCCTCCCCGCCCCCTGGGTCCCTCTGGACCGGCTCTCATTGCCAACACACCTGCCTTACCCTCTTGTCCGTGAGCCCCTGTCTGGATCTGAATCCCTCCATGCCTCTTCTCAGCCCAGGAGGTCTTCATGGGCCCCAGGCTGAGCAGGCAACTATGGTCTTGGAGACCCCCTTCGCCACATGTCACCAGGGCCAGGTGGCCCCAAGCTGATGCTGCCTGCTGGTTTTCCTGTGGTTTGGTCTGCAGGGGATCCAGTCCTTTTGCTGCCGAGCCTTGAGCCCTGCACGAGACCACAGCCCAGGCCAACACCTCGGTCGGCATCGGACCTGCAGCAGCTGTGAATAAGCACCAGGTGCTGCTGCTGGTGGCTAACTCTGCAGCTCTTTGTTATGCTGCCACAGATGACCCTAACCCTGACCCCTGATGAGAGCTGTGGCCTTGCCAGGAGTGATGGTGGCAGTCAGGATGGCAACAGGGTGTGCACTGCCCTCACGGTTCAGTTCAGCGTTCAGCCTAGAGTGCAGGTGAGGATGAGAGGTTGCCATAGCAGCCAAGGTCACGAGGAGTCAGAGGAGTTAACCCCTGGGACCTGAACTCCAGCCCTTCCTCTCACTCTGCCTGGCAGCACTGCCTGGCTCGGGTTCTACACATTCTCGGAGGCTTCTGTCTGCATCTGTGTCCCGGGCACGTGAGGTGAGGAGGGGTGACCCAAGTTGAAAGCTCAGAACCTGTGTGTGGGATATATGGCTCCTGCTTCCTCCTGCAGGCCTGCAGCATCTGTGGGAGGGCTGGGTCTGAGGGCTGCAGTGCCTAAACCTCAGGAGGAGCCCTGAGTGCAGGCAGTGGGTGGGCGGGCTCTGTGGCCCACTCTCTCCTCCCTGGCTTCACCCTGCTCTCGGGCCCAGACAGACCCCTCCTCTTTGCAGCCCGAGCCAGCAAGCCCTAGTGGGCAGGCCACGGGCTCTGTCTCTCGTGGTGCCAGGGGGGACTCCTCCCAGAGCCAGAATGCCCAGGAGGTGAACCAGAGGAGCCACGGGCAACCAGATGAGGCAATTACATTTTTTAAGAAATAGAAGTCACAGAACTGACTGTAAATGTTAGAGGCGAGCTCCTATGAAAAGTTGGTGCAAAACCTGTAATTGAAATGATTACAAGGTATAACAAGAAGACAAAGGAAGCAGAGCCAGGAATTAAGGGCATTAAACAAAGAGGCAAACAGCGAACCATTTGCTTGCAAATGGCAGGGTTCAGACTTGCTGTCTAAACAGTGGAGCCCTGGGAAACAATTGCTGGATGTCTGGTGGGCAGAGGTTGTTGCTAGAATGTGCTTAGCCCGGGGAGCCGGATCTGTCCCGTGCCGAGCATGGTGGGCAGTGATCTCCCGGGAGGCTGGCAGGAAGCCCCGAAGGGTGCTGCAGGACAGGAGGTCTGCCTGTGCTGCGGGACGCAGCACATGGACAGCAGAAAGCCGAGGTACTGCGCCCCTTCCTTGCTGTCCTCATCAGTGCCAGGGGGACCCCCGGCCTGTCCTTCTCCTGCTCACAGCCAGGGTTCCTCCAGGTGCCAGGCGCAAACCCAGCCCGGCATGCAGAGGGAGCCGAGTGGTACTAAGGACCGAGTCGCTGCTCTGCTGGACCTCAGCTTCCTTCCTGGCAGATGTGGTGTGCAGTTTCCTTACCTCTGTGCCACGGGACCCAGGGCCTGAGGGCGGCTCTGCCCTCAGGACCCCTGTGTGGAATTTCTGCTCTAACTCCAGCTGTGGGGGCAGGACAGGGCCAACCTTAGCAGGCGTGAGCTGAGGAAAACACTTTCTCCCTGCAAATTACAGATCTCTGTCTCCTGCAGAGACACATGAGGTAACAGTCTCCTGCTGTAGCTGCCTGCAGGTCTTTAATTTGCTGTTTTAAACGCATTTCCGGAAACACGCTTGGCTTTGCCTTCGCCCCCTCCCAGCAGCCCCTAGGGAGGAAGGGGGCAGAGTGACAGGGTGGGACGTGAGGCTGACAGACCCAGCGACCTGGGCCAGGATGCGGGCACTAAGGGGTGCCCACCGCCTGGAGACTATGGGATCCGTGTGGAGTTGGTGCCGCAGCCCACTCGATAGTGTCAGTGGCGTCCACCACGAGTGAGGCCGAGTGGTCCAGTGGGAGGCCCTGGCTCAGCCCCAGCCGGCCCTGCACAGTGGGCTCCTGCCGGGTTTGGAATCAGCCCTGCAGGTCTCCATCTGCCCCCTTGCCTCAGCAGAGTCCAAAGGCTGCTTGCGGAGCCCAGAGCAGGGAGGGGAGCAGCAGGCGTGGAGGGCTTGAGGGTGGCTGAGGTTCCTCCTGTGCAGTCCTGCCTCTGCCTGGGCCTGGGAGCCCTGGGGACCCTGCAGTGTGGACAGAGCAGTGTGCTGGGTCAGGGCTGGGGTCTACACCCTACGCAGATGGCAGGGCCGGAGCTCTCAGAAACCTGAGATGTGGCGATCACAGCAGGAGTCTGGAAGCTGCAAGTGTGGGGCAGGTGGGCATGGAGACTCACAGTGCCCCTGCCCCAGGGCTCACCCTGCCCTGCATGGCAAGTTTCCACGTCCCTCCTCCTGCCCTTTCCTCCTCATAATAACCTTGTAAGCATGGTCATTTAACCCTCACTCCTGAAGGCCCTGAACAGTAGCTCCGAGCAGATGTTTTATTTTGTTTTGCTGGTGAGGACTTCTCAGCCCAAGGACTGAGGTCTAACTGGTCCCAGTAAAGTGCTCTAAATGCAAGCAGTGGCTTCATCCAGCTGCTGCCACTCTGCTCATGGCCTTGGCTGGTGTGCACTTCATCTACTGTGTGGGGCATCTCTGCTCCCCAGCCTCCCTCCTCCCAACTTCCGCCCAACGGGGTGCATGGGGTGCTGCAGGGGGAGCTGTATGAGAGTGGTGGATGCTGCCTGAGGACCACCGAGGAGTAGGGGTGAGGTGGGGAGAGGGGCCGGGCGCCCCGTCCAGCGGAGCCCCCGCTCTGGAGGGGGCCATCCAGACCCCCCGGATTTGTGTCTGAGCGCTGCTCGTGCCTGAAACTACCCCCAGCCTGTGGCTCCTGGGGACTCCAGGACTTTGGACTCTGGCCGGCCCTGCTCCTCCTCTGACGAGCCAGGCTGGGAACTCTGGAGGGCAGGAAGGGCACCAGTCCCTGCAAAGGCGGCAGCTGTCCTGGGTCTGCTCCCGGCTGGGCAGAGAAGGAGGCGCAGGGCCTGAGCCCCACCCCGTCGGTAGGAGGAAGCCAGCTCTGTGCAGAGGGAGAGTCAGCGTGGCTGCTGCAGGATTCTGGTTTGATTTGAGACACATTTTGGGATTCCTGAGGAATTATCCAATCATTCTGCATCATCATCGTCATCATCATCATCCCCGGCACTGTCATTAAGTGTCAGAAGCGAGGAGCGAAGATTTCCTGTGCTGCTCTGGGCGGAGCACATGGCCCCAGGTCGTCCTCACAACCTGAGCTCTGTGGACTCAGAAATAAACACAGGTGGGCTCTGGGGAGTGGGACCAGGATGGCAGGCTGTGGGCCAAAGCAGGGCCTCGGGGCCCAGGCTTCTGCCTTGGGGAGCCTGGTGGCCCCTGGTGCCGCCCCTGCAGGGACAGCAGGCGGCTTCTGGGTGGACCCTGCTCACCCAGCCAGACACTGCACAGAATCTGCACACCCTCCTCAAGTGGACTTGGGAGCCCACCCCACCCTGCCTCTGGGAAGTGGGGAGCCTCTGTCTGATGGTGTCAGGGGCTCGGGACATGGTCCCATTCCCTGGTGGTGGGAGCGGGGGCTTACGGCTTTCCCTGCGGGGCAGTATGGGCAGCCCAGCTGGGCTCCTGCCCAGCAACATTCCCACCCTACCAGGTGGCTCTGGGCTCTGTGGCCAGCTGGGCCTCCACACCCTCCTGCAGCCCCAACTGAGCAAGGTGGCATGTGCTGAGCTGGCACTGGCCTGAGCCCCCACGACTCCTCACTCCAGGGAGCGGCTGCTGAGGACCCTGCTGTCACTCTGCTGTCCCTGGACCCCTGCCCTGCATGGCCAGGGCCCAGGGGAGCTGAGCTTCTGCCCCCACCCTGCAGCCACAGAGTAGCATGGTCCTGTCCTTCCCCACCCTGGGCAGCTGGGCTCAGCAGGGAGCTGATCTTAAATCCCCACTTGGAGGCACGGAGGTGGCGAGAATGGAAAAGCCTGAGCTAGTGCTGAGTGCAGATGCCTCGAGGCTGGGTACTCAGTGCTCAAGAAGTAGCACTCTGGGCCGGGGATTTAGCTCAGTGGTTCCACTGTTTGTCTCAAAGCACAAGGTTCCGAGTTCGATCCCCGGTACCAAAAAAAAACATAGCACTCTGCACCCAGAGGGGAGACTGCCTGCTACACAAGAAGATAAACAGGGTCCAGGCACGGTGTCCAGAATACAGTGGAAAATCTCGAGTCACATAAAAACCAAGCACACCGCAACTTCAGCGAGAAGAGGTGAGCAACAGACAGAACAAGAGGACGACTCTGGTGTTGGAATTGTCAAAAAGGATGCTATTTTAAAAATTATTCTTTACGTTTATTAGTATGTTTGCTGTATGTAATGATTGCATTCTCCATGGGGAGTTGGTTCATGCACACAATACACCTTAATTCTTTTTACTTCCCCTGGCTCCCCACCCTCCCATTCCCTCCATCTCTAGTCCCTGTCTTATTTGCAGAGGATCACATATAAGAGAAATCATGATTTCTCTTATATGTTTGCATATTTGTGCTTGCATGTCTGATTTCTTTCACTTAACATTATGGTCTCAAGGTTCACCCATTTTTCTACTAGTGACTCAAGTTTATCCTTCTTTATGGCTAAGTAGTACTCCATTGTACATAAATACCACATTTTCTCTATCCATTTATCTGTTGATGGACATATGGAGCACTTCCAATTCTGGTATTATGAATAATGCTGCTATAAGCATGGGAGTGCATGTATCACTGTATCATGATGTTTTTAACTCTTTTGAGAAGGTACCTGAGAGGGCAACAGCTAGGTCCAGTGGAATTTCTATTTTTAGCTTTTTGAGGAATTTCCATACTGATTTTCACAGTGGATTTGCTAGTTTACATTCCCACCAACAATATAGGAATGTTCTTCTTCCCCTGTAGCCCTGCCAGCATTTGTTCTTTGATTTCTTGATGACGACCATTCTTTCTGGAGTGAGATGGAATCAGTGTTGTTTTAATTTCCCTTTCCCTCCTGGCCAATGGTGTTGAAAATCTCTTCACGTATTTATTGGCCATTTGTACTGCTTTTGAGAAGTGTTCATTTCACTTGCCCAGTTTTTGATTGGGTCTTTTATTTGGGGGGTGCATTTTTTTGAGTTTTTGTATATTTTAGATGTGAGTTCTCTGCGGAAGAGCTGCCAAAAACTCCTCCCCATTCTGTAGGTTGTCTCTTCACTCTTCTGGTTGTTTCCATTGCTGTGCAGAAAGCTTTTAAATTTGATGTAATCTCACTTTTTGATACTTGATGTTATTTCTTATGTAGTTAAGTTTCCATTAAAAAAATCCTTCCTTCACCTAATCTTTAAGAGTTTTTCCTATTTTATCTTCCAACAGGTTAAGTGTTTCTGTTTTGATGTGCAGGGCTTTGATCCATTTTGATTTTAGTTTAGTGCATGGGGTGAGGGGTGTTAAAGAGGCTGTTGTCCCCCACTGCATGCTTTTCACCCCTTTGCAAAGATAGTACGATCCAATGTGCCAGAGTTGTTTCTGTGTCCTCCATGTGGCTCCATTGATCCACATGTCTGTTTTTGTGCCAGTAGCATGCTATTTTTATTACTGTAGGTTTGTAATATACTTCAATTCCAGGGTTGTGATGCTCTCAGCTTTGCTCTTGTTACCCAGGGCTGCTTTTGCTATGCTAGATTGCTTCTGGTTCCATATAAATTTTAGGAGTTTTCTCTAGTTCTGTGAGTAATGCTGCTGGTGTTTTTATTGGAATTGCATTAAATCTATGTATCAGTTTGGGAAGTATGGCCATTTTGAAAATTTTGACATTTTGCAAGGAGAGACTCCCTCTGGTTATAACAATGTCAACCCTCCTTGGCCTCTCCTCACCGGCTCCTCTCCCTTCTCACCATGCACACTGTTCTCTGCAGGTCAGCATGGACCTCTGCTTCTCCTGCACAGCTGGCTCTCTCCTCTCCCGTTGTCTCCTCCAGCCATCTGCTCTTCCCACTCATCCATCTGCATCTCGGGCCTGGACTCTGGCGAGCCATGCCACCAGTCTTCTCTTGTCCTCTCCTAATCCGACATCTTGCCATCTACCCAGGCTATGCTGCAATCACCTTTCCTCCTTGATTGTCCCTAGTGAGCCCTGTGGGGCCCCCTGACATCCCCTGGCTGGCCCCTGCCTCTGTCCTCATCCAAGTAAATAGTAAGTGTACTACTCATGGAATCTACTGCCTAAAATTTATATAATAAGACATTTAAATCATTTATAAGTAAATTAAGATCCTAAAATATCAAGCGCTAAGTATAAGTTCAAGTACTTTTTCCTTAAAGTTTATAAAAGGGCAGTATACTGTATTTGGGTCTAGTAAATATGCTTTCATAAATTGTTCTCTCTCTCTCTCTTTCTCTCAATATATATCCATTCAAGATTACTTTCTTCTTTGTTCTTCAGTAAAAGTTAGATGTTATGAAGAATGACAAATTCTAATGAACATGTGTAATGGTATATGCAAAATAATTCAAAGAAATTAGGCTATGTTTTAATAGAGAGCTATTAAAAACATAAAGTTTTTTATTTCACTGGAAAAAAAGCCATTTGGCTTAAATTTAAAAAATGTTGTAAGGATTATTTAAAAATGTAAATTTAAGAGAGGAAATAAAGACAGAAAGGAATAAGTTAGTAGGAGAGAGGGAGATGTAAGAAAGATATTAGTGTGAGAATATATTTTTGGTAAGGAAAGATAAAAAGAGAGCAGATGAGATTATGTCCTACCAGAATGGAAACAGGAATCTAAAGGCAAAACCAGAAAGTTAAAGTAAGCTGCAGAAAGTTTGTGAGAGGTGAAGCTTATGAGAGGAAATTTGTATGTATGATAAAGCTGGCTATAATTTCAAAAATTAAACAATTGTCCAAAAATCAAAGTTTATAACATTGATATGAAACCAAATTCCATTTCTCTATCTTTAAAACAATGAGGTTTTCTTAAAATATTAATTTGCACTTAGTGAAGTTTATAAAAACTGATCCAGAAAGCAAAGCTTTTGTAACTTTTCAAGATAATTTCTTGTTCAGTGCTATCTTCATTAGGTTTTGATGAACTTAAATTATGAATTTTAAAAAATGATCTAAGCATCTATTTGTTTTAAGGTTTTGAAATTTATCACTTTAAAACTCTGGTCAAATGTAGTTACATTATTTAGCAATGATATATGGTATTGATATTAATATTCTAAACATTTAATAAGATTTATAAAACCTGATGGTCCTGTATAATGTTATAAATTATAATTGTTACCCTGAAATACATATATAGTAAAAAGTCTCCATTAACTTACTTTGTCAGTTGCTCAACTCTCATCAAAATTCTAACCATGGCTGTTCTAAATTTTTTGATCCACAATTTTGATTCTTTGGTACTGGGGATCAAACTCAGGACCTTGTACTTGCTAGGCAGGCACAGCACCACTGGGCTACATCCCCGGCCTCACAATTTTGATTTTTCTCTAAAGCATTTGTAGTCAGAGTTATGAAAAGGACTCTAACAAGTCCTACAGAAAAATTGAGTTTCCTGTGGTTATCTTTGGTAAAAAGTGATAGGCATAAAAATGATACCTGTCGGTTATAAGCTAAACTATTCTACTTGTTAGTTTTGTTCTATATTCTCATTTTAAAACTTTGTAACTATTACCTCTCAAAATTCTGCCAAAGTGCCACTCCTAGCAAAATGATATTGTTCCCTGTTTTAAGATACTGGCCATCATCTATAAAACAGATAAGGTTAAATTTAACATGGACTCCAGGTAAGCATAGCCTAACAGCTACTTCTTATAAACTTCCGTGTTGCTTAAATGTGACTAACAGGGCTATGACACTGACTCTCAATGATCAATCACTTTCCCTCCAATGTGGGACCAAATGAGAGCAACAGCTGGGACATATGGGGCAGGAGGACAGTGAAAATGTAACTATAGAACGGTGGGTCAGTGATGTCTTCAGAGACTCTCTCAAGGACAAGGGAGGAATATGAGGAACAAGAGAGCTGTGAGAATCAAGAGGGAGTCGCTTGGGCCAGGCTTCCAAAAAGTAAAGAGAGCCAGGAAGTTGTAAAGGAAGTGTTCTTGTGTCTGATGATAGCCATTGCGAAAAGCTCACCCAAAGTCACAAGTTTATCTCGAGCCGATCTGAATCTGATCTAATGGATGCATTATTTAAAATCCAGATCGTAAGACATTTACAGATAAGAGCAGTTTTATTGAGCAGGGTCACAAAAGACAAGGCACACAAGAGTTAATATAAAGTAATTGAAGCTGAAAACTTTACTAAGCCATCTGCTTTCAGTCACACTGCTCAGAATGCTGCTTTTCTAATCTTTGGCCCCCGTTTGCTTAACTCACTTGCTAAGTTTGTGTCTTTTGGGCTCCAACAATTTCCAGTGAAGCAGATGGTTACCCACGGAGTCCAACCCATCCAAGCCATGAGCAGATGCCGCTAGCAATGTCCTCTTCCGATCCCACAGTGAGAGACTCACAACTGCAGAGGATAACTGACTATGTCCAAAGTCAGCTCAAAGAAGTAATACAAGAGACTTTTGGCCCAAACTCCACAAGAATAAGGAGGATAAAGGCTAGAGGGGTGGGAGGAGATGGTTAGGGGTCACCAAGTTGGGGCAGCGGTGGCTCAGAAGGCTGGAACAACAAAACAAACTCTTGGGAACAGTGAACTATTTCTTTTTGCAGTCATTCAATAGCCTTCAGCATGTTTCACCAGGCTCATCCATTAGTAGAATCTGATAAAACTAGGAACAGAATTTTGCATGAAGTGAAAATTGTTACCAAGAAAAAACCCAACTCAGCCTCTGGGCTCATTTTCTCTTAGTCAACTTTAAATCCCCAGTTGTGGAGGTCACGCAGCTGGGTGGCCCGTCGTTGTTTCCCACCAGTGTCGCTGTGGATGGCCTCGCTGATGAGAGGGTCAGTATGACAGTCACCTGGGGTGCTTCCCAGTGACCTGCAGGGCCCTCGTGCGGAGGACACCGGCTCCTCCCTGGGCTCACAGATGTCTGATGGGAGATTGAAGTGCGATGGAGGCTGGCATCGCATCTGCATACTGTGTCTTCCCCCTCTGCTGCCTCAACCCTGGGGTCGAATTCTACTCAGCTCTGCAAGTAGACGTGTTGATCGCGTAAGAAGCATTCTGTCCAAGGCCATGCACCCGGTTAACTGGGCCTACTGGCCGTGGGGGCCGGGGTGTGATTCTTCTACCCACACCTCTGGCTTTTCAGCTCACACACTGAAAGTCCTGCAGCCCTGTCACCAGCCAGGACGTTTATGCGGGACGATGACGCCAGCTGGAAGGGTAGCTTGTCAGATCCTGAGCAAAGCTGAGCGCCCGGTCTCCCACCAAGCACAAGGCCGGGATGTTCGGCATAGGATGACGGCGCCAGAACCAGGAAGATTCAGCGGCTTCCAGGAGGAGCTGAGGAGCCACCTGGGCTCCAGGTCCATTGCTAGAAGACACCTTTGAGCTGTGCCCCTGGCCGATGAGAATCACCAGACTGGAGCCCACCCCAGCAGGTGCATAAACCTGCTGCTGGCCTTGTTCACTGAGCAGCAGTCAGGCCACTCCCTGGACCACCTGCTCGCTCCCTTCAGCCAAAGCCCCGATTTGTTGACAACCCCCCTCCCCCTGTAAAGCTTGGCCTGGGCAGGAGTGTGTGTGCGTACCATGCTTGGCCCAGGTCATTTCTACTGTCTCTGGGTCCACAGATCCCATTGTCTGGTACCGCTCAGGATATGCCATCTCATGGGACTCAAAGTCTTGCTGGCCTCCAGAGGGGCTGGGCTGGAAGGGACACAGCCGTGGCCTGAGGGGCAGCATGGAGCCAAGGAAAGAAATGTCCTGTCTTTTCCACTCTTGTTTTCCTCCAGTGCTTCCTGAAGGCAGAGGGCGAGGAGCCTGGGGAGCCCACCCTGCTGACCAGAGCAGGGTGCAGGGAAGCTCTGAGAGGGCCCAGGGTCCAGCACCCCGCTGTCGACGCCAGGTGGAGCTGTTCATCGTGACCTGCTCAGGCTCCCGGCGCTGTGACCTGAGGGGACAGTGGCTGACTTGGAGCTTCCAGAAGCTGCCTAGAGTGCTGGTACCCTCACCCAGCTGGGGCCGCTCCTCGGGGCTTCGGGGTGGGCGTTGCTGTCTCCAGCACATGCCCCTGAGGTGGGGATGCCTCTGGATTCCTAAGGCTGCATGCTTGAGCCTTCTTGGTGGAGGACACTCAGGTGACAGCGCTCAGGTGGGGGACTCTAGGGTGAGCCACAGCCCAGGGCCACAGTGTCAGCATCGGGTCTCCATCAGCGGCTAACTGGGAGCCCAGTGCCCTGCCTGCTCCCTTCGAGGCGCAGTCACGTCGGGTCCTCTGGCACAGTGTGGGCCCCACCTGTGTCCACCCCGGAAGGGCACACTCGGCAGCCATGGCTCTTCCTCCTGCAGCTCATGGAGTGGGACTCCGGCTGGCAGCTCAGTGGGGTGGACCTCGGTCGGCACCCCTTGGAGTCTGGGGTTTGAGTCTTTGCCTGTCGCTTGTCACAGCTGCCCCTTCCCATGCCCGCGGGTGCTCATTTGGGAACGGATGGCAGTGACCTTTGCCTCCAGGCTCCTGGGAGTTGAAGGAGCCCTGTGAAGTCCAGTGTGCACCTCTCAGCCATCAGAGACCCCCCCAGGGCTGCTCCTTGGGCTGTGTGTATCGGTCACCCACAAGGGGTGGCCTTGGAGCTGCCCTCAGAGACCGCTCGCCGGGCGGGGAACATGCTTCGCTCTGTGTACCACAGAAGGCCATGGCTCCGGAGCCTGGAAGCTTCTCTGGCCTCCTCTCTCTCCCTTCTTCACCTTGGGCTGCCTTGGAGGTAAAAGTTTCCTCCACAGGAAGCCCCTGGAGTTGGGACTCCCAAGCAGGCTCTGTCGACAGAAAGGGGTACGGGACAGCCCCAGCCTCACTGGCCGCATCACCCTGACTGTTGCTGCCCTGTCTCAGCGCCATCTGCTTTCCACAGCCCTGTTCAGGTGCGTCTCATGGGTGCTGCGGGTGGAGCAATCGCCTCCTTCTCTCGAAGGCCACTCCCCTGCACACTCAGCCTACACAGATGGCGGGGTTCTTCTGGGACCCCTGGAGCTCCGGGGTCCTGTCAAGCTCTGCAGCACGGCTGAGAGGTGGCTGTGCAGCCGGCATCAGGTCCCTGCCTCCTTGGGAGCCCTCTGCTGAGCTGTCTAGTGACACACTTGTTCCAGCCCTCAAGCTCGCCAGCTGCCCCTTCCCCCCGAAAGGCTGCTTTCCCAGTAACCCACGCCCCAGACAGCAGCGGGGCCCTCAGGGCATCTGTGGTCCCAGGGCTCCCGGTGGCCTCTCCTCTCTTCCGCTCAGGTGAGCTGTGGCAGTGGCCGCAGGAAGATTCGCACTGACCCTGTGGGAGACAGAAAGTCGGACGGTGAGAACATCTCCTTTCTTTTTGAAATGTATCAAGGCTTGAAATGCATTTTTGCAAAGGTCGCCATCATGCGGAAGAGCCAAGCAGTCACATGCCCTGGGCCTCAGGGTGAGGACTTGGACCCTGCACGGCCAGCTGGGTCCTTGAGTCCCTTGTGACAGGCTAGCCATGCTGGCTCTGTCCCCACCAGGCAGGTGGGGAGCCGAGAGGGGCCTCTGGGAGGAGAGGGTCTGCCCGTCCTCTGGCCACCAGTCCAGTGTCTTCCAATGATGGGGGGCGACGACAGGCAAGACTGTCCATGGAAACAGAACGGTGGCCTTTGCTCAAAGACGGAATTTCTGCTTCCTTTTGGGTACGGTAAAAATAGCCTGTACCGCCCAGAAACTGTAGTCTGTGGCTGCTCAGGGTCTGTGATCTTAAAGAAAAACAAACAGATAAACAAAATGTATTGTTGCGGGGTTGTTGAGACCCAAAGGACACCCTCGCCCTCATCACCAGGGACACGGTCAGCCTTTCCGTGTGGTGGCTCGCGTGCCCGCCAGGCCAGGAGGGCCCAGCCTGGGCTGCCTGTTCTTCGAGTCTCAGAGGGTGGGTTCCAGCCAGAGCCCCTGTCGTCAGCGTCCTCTTCCGCCAGCCGGGCCCTCCTCTCCTCCCTGGCATAAGGAGAAGGGCAGCAGAGCGCCCAGGCAGGCTGGCAGGGTGGGCCAACCTGTTCGAGGACCTGCCCGCACCAGTTCTGAACAGGCCCAACCAGGCACCAGGGCCTCTTGTGGGGCCCTGCACACCTGCCGACCCAGGGTGAAGGTCAGGAGAGGCCACAGACCCAGGGATCTGGCACGTGTTTGTTTCCCGAGTGCAACGGCTCCCATTCACCCTGGCCAGAAGTGGGGCCGAGGAGCTCCCTCTCGAAGGCCGTCCGGGCAGAGCTGCGTGTGTGCACGCCCTGCCTCGCTCTGTGCTGAGGCACTTTCCTTCACATGCAGAGGTGTGTGTGCAACACACAGCACATACTTGCTCACACGGGTGCATGCGCTCACACGGGTGCACACACACACTCACCTAAGGCATGCATGCTTGCTCAGGAACATGCATGCACTCACACAGGCACACCCACGTTCTTATACACACCTCTGACACACACCTCGCACACACCTCTGAAAGCGAGAAACCCACCCCCTTCGGCCCCTGGGTTACAGGCAGACCAGAATCCTGTCCCCTGCAGTGGACTGGTGTCCCAGGTCTCCCTCAGGACAAAGGGTTCCCTGGAGGGGCCTCAGCTTTGTTTGGCACATGGATAACCCAACCCAGGCCACTGATGTGAGACGACAAAGCCTCGTGTGTCACCATTGCTGAGCCTGGGAGCTCTGGGGACGCCTGGCTAGGATTGACCTAGAGGGCGCAGTCAGGACATGGCCCCTCCTGCCCCCTGCCCCATCCTCAGAGGCCATGTGCTTGCTCTGGCCCTGGGCATTTTGTGCCATATCAATGCTTTTCCGGCCGAGGACAGACACAGGCGCCTTGGCCCGAGGCTGCCGAGTGGCAGCAGGCAGCGAATGGGGTCTCTGAGACTCAGCGTGGCCACACTGGGCACAGCCAGCAGCCCCTCCTGACCCCTGTCTGTCCCTCCCACCCACAGGCCCACGCCCCTCATGTGTGCACCCCAGTGAGTAGAACATGCCATTGTTTCCTGCAAAACTAAAATTTCAACAGCTCCTGGTGCTTCCTCTCCGCGGGTCCAGGGAGGGAGGAAAAGGCACAGACCCACTGGCTGCCTCCACCCGGACAGGGGAAGAGCTGCCACTCCTGCCCTTGCCCAGCATGTCCTTCTGATGAGTTCCATGTGTCCCCCAGCGCAGCTCAGCTCCCGCCCTGAGGCTCCAGACACACCGTGTGGGCACATGCGGAGAGGGCCAGGCTCTCCTCTCAGGGCCCTGCAGACGGGACAGAGGTGCCATTATAGGGGCACAGGCAATTATGCATGAGATACTCGTTCAATTGTTTACCTAACTAATTAACTTAGTTCATCACAAAGAATGGAATTAATTTTATTTATTGGGTTCATGAAAGTCAAAGAAAGCCAACTTGGAAGATGCACATAATCTGCACAGCAACTATTTCTAGCACAATAAAGTTTATTTCCCAAAAGTGAAACCCAGCACTGGTGAGAGCATATCTATAGCAACTGCCGAGTGATTATTCCTGTCTGTTTTCAGCAATGAAAAGTCAAGACTATGCACGTGGCTCCAGGTGCCCGCTCACAAGCACTCAGGGCTTTTACGTGTTTGTTCATGCCACCACGAGCTTCTCATGCTCGGGTCCTAGCCCTTCCACACTCAGGCTTCTGAGGACCGTGGGGCTGAGGAGGGGCTGGCCTGGCTCATCTCGTGTCCCCTCTTCTTAAGCGGCTGCACTTCGGCAGGATTACCTGTGTCTTCCTGTCCAGTCCTGCCCCACGCTGCCACCTGAGCCCACTTTTGAGACAGCAGGTCACCTCTTTATTTAACCCCAGGCCTCCTCCCTGCCTTGTGAATGTCCACCACTGGCCCCGGCTGGGCGACTCGGACTCAGCTCCGGGTCCCCGACCTCCATAGCTCCAGACTGGAGCCCTGACCCCCTCTGCAGCCTCCCGAGCTCCGCCTCCTGGGGCCTGACTCATGCCCCTTGCACAGTGCAATGGTCTCTCCTGCTGCTCCAGCCCGGCACCTCGCATCCCACTCTCCTCAGACCAGTGCTCCTGAGACTTCTCCACCTCTCTCCTCCACAGCCACCGTAGCCTGGGAATTCTGTTGGCTTTGCAAATAAAAAGGGGCAAGTAGACCTAATTCAGGATTTCAAATTACAAGTGAGCCCCCTTCCCTCTTTCTTAGGAATCATAGTTTTAATGCATGAGTTACAGCAGGATAGTAACTGCCCGCTAAGAGCCCAGATCTCAGGACTCTACCTATTAATTTAGACAGTCCTAACAAGATCACTTTCAGCCTGGTACTGCTGTTTTCATCCTCATTTTACAGGTGGAAAACCTGAGGTCTAGCAAGGATAATGAGTTTTGCTAAAGCTACACAAACATTGGTGGTAAATGCCAGACTCCACCCCGGGTCTCTCTGAGCCCGCAGCCTGCACTCTAACCCACTATGGCATCTGTGTTAGTCAGCTTTTCCATCACTGCACACAGTAACCAACACCACAGCTTAAAGGAGGAGAGGTTAAATTTGGCTCATGTTTTAAGGAAATTCAGTCCATAGTCAGATGGCTGGAAGGCAGGAACATCATGGCAGAAGGGGATGATGGAGCATAGTCATTCAGTTCACGGTAGCCAGGGAACAGAGAAGGTGAGGTGAGGGGCCAGATGTGTTACCCAGGGTCATGCCTCCCTGATGCACCCAGATGCATCTAGAAGTGTGCTTTACCAATTTGCTAGACATTTCTTAATCCAATGAAGCTGACACACCAAAATTAACGGTCACTGAGTCTGAAATGTGATTGCACATCTGCATGCCCTAGATTAAGTTCCTTGAGGACAGTGCATCTCCTGACTATCTAATTCTCCGGTAACCTGTCCACGGCCCTTGCATCCTGCATACCCAGTGGGTGTCGGTTGCATGAGATTAAGGCAGAGGCCAGCTTTGCTGTTGCTGGGCAGGTGTCTGAATCTACCCGCCATGTTCCCGCCCTATGCACCTGCAGACCTGGGGGCAGCTCAGCTCCAAACTGGGCCTCTGCCCCCTGTGACCAGCTCAGCCTGCCCAGGAGGCTCGTCAGATTTGAGCTGTGTGCTAATGCCTCCAACTATGATGGTGGTTTCTTTGAAATATATTTTCCTCATAATTTCATCAGTATGTTTTTTTTTGGTACTGGGGATCGAACTCAGGACCTTGCACTTGTAAGACAGGTGGCGGCACCACTGAGCTAAACCCTCGGCCTCATCAGTATGTGTTCACACCACAGCCATGGGTATATCTGTGTTCACAATCACCTCTCACACTTTCTTAGTTTTTGTGCTGGGTGTGGAGCATCCTCTTTGATTCTTAGTATGAGTTTTATTTGGACACATATTTTAGTCTTTTATTAAGACTTTGGCTGTTATATATTTAATTCTTTCACTTTTTATTTCTTACTTATCATGTAAATATCAAGTTACTGCTACTGCTACATAAAAGTACCCATTCTGAGAGTTTTTATCTCTTGATAAATGATTAGTATAACCCACTCACATTTACTATACTTAATGCTGGATTCAGAATTACTTTATCCATACTATTTCACAATTTTTATTATTATACCTTATTTTCATTTCTCTTTTTCTTCCTTTTTCTAACTTGCATTGAATGGATAAATTTTTTTCTTCTGGTTTTAATAGAATGCATCTTATCTTGATTCTTTTTCTGGTCATTCCTAACTCCTTCATACCCATGCTTATGCATATTCTTCCTATTTATTTTTCAGTTGATCTTTATCCATCTCTTCCCTAGGAATGAGAAAGGTGGCTGGGGCTGCCTTCCCTTACTTCTGGGGTGTCTCACCTGTACTCTGTGGGTATCACTTAGGATTTTGGCCAAAGTTTATTATACACACTTTGTGTTAGTCCTTGTTTTAACAAGTTATTTAATCACCACATGTCTTAGCTTCTTTATTGCTTTGTACCCTTTCCTTAAAGAAGGAAAGATCTGTTTGGGCTCAGAGTTTGTAAAGGTTCCAGTTCATAGTCAGAGGGGCTTGGCAGAGAAAGGTTGCTTATGGCATGGCAGGCAGGAAGCACCGAGGGATCAAGGGAGGAAGAGGGATCCTTACTGCTCCAGGCCACACCCACAGTGACCACCTCTTTCCTCTGGCTTCACCTCTCAACATCACACCCAGCTATAAACCCATCAGTGGTCTGATCCACTGATAAGTATCACACACCCATGATCCAGGCACTCCCCAAAAGCCCCACCTATGAGCACATGAGGCTTTGGGGGGACGTCCAGAGAGAAGCCATAACGTCATGTTTCTCATTTTCTAGCACTTTTTCTTTTCTTGCCACAGAACTGTCTTTTAAGATATCTAAGAAGATGTTTGTGTAATAAAATATAGAGGCCCAAAATGTCTGAAAAATGCTCTTATTTTGCCAGTACATAAATGGTAGTTTAGCTGGATAAAAAATCCTGAGTTTAAAGATTGTTTTCTCTCAACTTGGAGATGATCACTGTACTATGCCCTATATCCAGTAATATTGACAAATATAATGTCAATTTTATTAGTGTTTGGCTTAGTTCATTTTCCATTGCTATTAAAAACCCCATGAGTCTGGGTATTTATAAGGAAAATGAGTCTATTTCTTTCACAGTTTTACAAGCTGAAAGCCTGAGACTGGAGGTTCACGTGAACTCACTAGCTGGTTTTTGTCACCACTGAGATTGGATTTGGGTCCGGAAACCAGCAGTTTCCCATGTTCACTGTCCATCACTTCACGAGCCAGCGCCACCGCCAGGACCCTGCCCTGACACAACATCTGTCATCTTAAGCACACCCTGCACTCCTTCCTGGCCCCACGCAGCATCTGACGAGCCCTAGCTTGCTCGGTGAGAAGAAGTAGAAATGAGTTGCGTGAGCTCTGAAGGCTCCGCTGTACAGGCAGCAGCTCCTCCTTGGTCCTCACAGCCCACACTTTCCTGAGTCTGTCTACACCTCCCCAGTGTCCCGGGTGTGACTTCCCTCCCTGGCAAGCTGGTCTTCTGGTCTGAAGCACTGGTCAGTGAGTCAGCGCTTCAGAGCTCCTCGCTGCTTGCTTGAGCTGAACTTTGTCCCCAGCCTCACTGTGCTGCCTGGAGACTTGCTGGCGCAGTCCAGCAAGCCCGGGCCTCCCCGTGGGGAGGAATATGGGGTGAGGCTTGGTTCTCCTTTTAAATTTTAATCCATCATTACATGCCTGAGATACCACTGAACGCATCATCACTTGATCCACATGCATACTGCACCTTAATCTCTTTCGTTTTCCTGCCCCCTTCCTCCCCTCCTCCTCCATCCCTGGGTCCCCTTCCTATCTCCAAAAAGTCCATCTCTCCTGTTTCCTGTTATCTAAATTGTGTTTCGCTCTTTACCTCTTTACTTATACTTTGGGTTCCTGATACAAGAAACGATGTAATATTTAAGCTTGTGTGCCTGATTTATTTCAGGTATTATGATCTCAAGGTGCATCCATTTTCCCACAAGTGACTCAAGTTTATGCTTCTTTATGGCAGAGTAGTGCTCCACTGTGTGTAGACAGCTCATTTCCTTTATCCATTCATCTGTTGATGGGCACACAGGCTGCTTCCAAGGCTTAGGTATTATGAGTTACACTGTTAGAAACATGGGTGTGCATAGATCACTGTCATAGGATGTCTTTAGCTCTTTCAGGAAGATACCTAGAAGGGGAATGGCTGGGTGGAATGGAATTTCTATTTTTAGTTTTTTGAGGTTTTCATTTGCTGTGAGCCATCTCTTCCTAACCATCAAGAGAAGCTGTGGAGGGCTATTGGGCATATCTCAGGCCTCTGACTGCTACATCTTTTCAGTTTAAAGTATATCATTTTATCTTTTAATGAATTTCTTTCTCAGGAAACCAAAGTATTTTAGCCAATTCTATGGGGCTAAAAATGGGAGAGGAAGCTTGCACACCCACTCTGACCTGCAGACACAGACTGGCAGCAAACCTCAAGGCAACCACACGCAGCCACATGCAGGAGGGGCCGCCTGCTGAGGAGATGTTAAGTTGACTCAATCTTTCCTTTGATTTTTCTGAAACGGAATTCAGTCATAGTTTTATACTATGAATGAGCACACTACTTATGTTCAGATTATTTTTGCACTACGAATGAGTGAGCGTGTGTGTGTGAAACTGAAAAGGTGTACAGATGCTTTTCCTTCTTCGAATTCTCCTTATAGTCAAATCATTTGTTACGGTTCGGGTCCGATGTTCCCCAGCGCCTCACTTGGTCAGAGGCAGCTGAATCCGAAATGTGTGCTGCTGGGACTAAGGGCGTGTGCTTAGGGAGCACTACACGTGAGTGAGTGGTTTGGCACCACCCTGATTCCCGTAGTCTGGATGGGGTGAAAGGCAGAAAGACTTGGTGAAGCCCTTGTTGCCTTTGCTACCTTGTGCGTGCCGTGTTGCTTCTGCTCTG